TCCAAACAAAACTAAATGACCAAATAATTACGGTCCCGTTTTATATGACTCCGAAACAGATATTCCTAAACACCAAACAGTAGTTGATAGAGGTTTTAGTAAACTTTTTTTTTTACAATTCAAGCGACAAGCTTCTGTTTCTATGACCATGGCCATTCATTGTTGTGATCACTGCCTCCCGCCGGTTTAACGATTACGGAATGTAAATTTGTAGTTTATTTGGAAAAAAGACATGTGGATAATTGAAACATCAATAAATAACACCGACAGCATGTATTATCTTCGTCACCGTTCTAACTAGGGGGTGTAGGAAGATCAACAATGCAATCATTTAGCACTATTCTAGAGCTGCGGTGAATCCGCTACATTTACCGATTGTTTTATGTTAATTAAAATACACAGGAACCTAGCTAAGGGACCATCTGCCTAGAACCAATAACCGACGATGCTTCAGTTTACGTTACATGACCCGGTTTCCAACAATTTAATTCCAATGTCGGCCATATTTAGAGACATTTATACAGTGTTATTGACCGATATATGATCGTTTCTTTCAATGAGCATCATGATTGGTGTCATATGTGTTGTTGCAATGTCCACCTCCTAACAGCACTTGGCTAACAAATGCATACGTAAAAGGTCATGTTTTTTTCTGAAATAATGGTGGACTTTCTCACAATTTGATATTCCTTTGTGTGCACTGTCGTCATTACCTCTTTGCTTATATAGATATTCATGTATACATATTTACAATGTGAATGAAATTGTACATGTCGTGCAGAAAATTTACCATTCCGTAACACCTACATTGTAGTGTAGACTCCAGTCTTCCGCTGGTAAACAGGACGTGTTGGATGTCCCCGCAGGTCCTGTTGTTCTTGTTTTGATTTCAAATCACTTGTAACTTATGCATTTATTATATACATTTTAGTAGCTTTTGTTGATTTTACTGAAGATAACAATGCATTACACATTCGATTCTGATGAATCATTTTTTGGGGAATTGACGTCTCCCTCCTCCGGCGTCTCAGCAACCTGTGGATCGCGAACATCGACAGATATCTGCGGTTGTATCATTAGCGTTAATTGAGAAACCATCAACTGACAATGTGGGAGTAAATATGGCCTATGGTGAAAACCGTGTACGTCTTTATGGTAATCGGCGGGAATTAACTTATCCATATTAACGGTCAGGGAAGGGGACATGTATAGACAATAAATATTACCATACACATTACAAGGTCAGCTAAGTCAAATTGTGTCCACACTGACTCTGTAATCCTCAACCCTGTATGAGAAGGACCTTCAATTATGTCATCTTTGATATATTTTAAGGGAGGTTTACCTTAATAATCAACAGCTGGTTTTCCTTACGAGTCACTTGACAAGTAAGACAGGTTTTAAAGGACCAGTCACACATTACCAATGAATTTCGCCGAGATCAAACCGAAGCATAAAATTAACAACGGCAGGAAAGCACTTGAAAACAAATGACCGTATCAATACCAATTGTAGTACCGGCGGACCGTTGCGATACCGTTGTTTGCCGTTGTCCTACCGATGTAAGAGCCGATGTGCTACCGAATACGACTTTCTGTTGTTAGTATATCGGCGACGCATCATTACTAATTCGGTGATATTCGGTAGTACTACGGTATCACATCGGTACCAGTACAGTACACATTGAGCCCACTGGAGAGCCGCCAATCTATTTAGGGACGCTACCGGTTCTCTACCGACATGAACGAAGCCATACCGGAGTACTGCAGCTGTACTACCGTTGCAGTTCCGTTGCTCACTCCGGCAGCCCAACGGTGGACATTTTTGAGCAAGTTCAAACACTTTTCTCCTGTCGCCTGCCGTTGCTATGTTTTTCGCGATGTTATGACGATGTCCTGACGATGTACTACCGTTCTTAGCGATGTGATACCGTTGCGCTGTCGTTCAAGTACCGAAACCCAAAACTCGCCAAATGTGTGCTCCGGTATAGCTCCGGCGACCCAAATCGACTAGGTGTGATAGGCCCTAAATAATGAGGAACATTGTAAAACAGGTGAATACATAGGAGATTTCAAATATTCTAACATTTGTATTTTTAATTAACAGTTTAAGTGAACAATTTACCTGTGCTATCAATGTAAGTTAGCTGTTTATAATCGGATATGATATTTCGCCAAGCATAATGATTATCTAATAAAAGCAATATCACTTTAGCTCTTCTTGTTCGTGTCTCTCCTCCCGTCGCCATATTTTACATCTTACCAAGTTTTACCATATTGCTAAGCGCAGAGGATATCGACAGACAAGTTCAGTTTCTTTCCAGATCTATAACAAATATGCTTTTAAATAATGTTTTTTTTAGAATGTCGCTTCACAACACATGTGTCAATCACAGATATGGCAGAATCTTAGCGCCGTTATTTGCAGTTATTTATTTGGGTGAAAATCGATAAGTTCATTCAATGAGTTTTCGCACATGACCAGATTGGTTTGGTTTGGTTTAATTTTGTTTAGCGTCCTATCAACAGCCAATGTCATTTAAGGACGTGTCTCCATGTGTGTAGTATATGCGTGTTTGCATGTGTGTATGCAGGAGACAGGTAAATTATGTGCTTGCCTCCTTGTGATAGCGCGGATCTGATGCCGACTTTAAAGTGCCATCTCACTGCATTACCATGCCGAAGGCACCCAGCACAACATCTACGATTGGCTCACAACTGGATGCAACTTCTTTTCCCTATTATCATACGACTTCTGAGATAAGGGCAATATACTTGTAGACGCTAGTTTAACATACTCGGGCAACATTTTAACTCATGTTCAAAACAAACATACATTGACAAGCGTAAAATACTTAACAAAATATAAGGAAATATACACGATAAAACTCAAAAATTAAATAAAATAAATGAAGAAATAGATAAATAAATATATACATACATGCTTAATACCAGGAAACTTTCGCCCAGTCAAACTTTCGACCTTCGCAAGAATAATTCATATTCGCCTAGTATCTATTTCGCCCAAAATATACATTAAGGATGTTTGTTTATTCTCGCTGTAATGGTATATTCACCTTTAGGACGGCGGGCACAAAAGGCGAAAATTAAACCACAGCGAAATATTCCCGTTATACAGTAGGTAATTGAGATGAATCCTAGTTCTCCCTTTGGACAAGCATATCCTGCACCACATATGGCCCACAGGCATGTTATCGCATGTCACATCTAGGAAAGTGATAAGGGCACTATCATGTACAAGGATAATACATTCCATTCTCTGCTACGTCGATCGTTGTACATCAATATGTTAATATTTCAATAGGATGTACATTGTATGGGCCTTGACATTTGATCTCAGTTCAAGATTTGAGCATTATCTATCTGTTAAAACACATATTCTTACTTAAACCAACTGTGTTCTTCATACACGGGCTCTTTGCATGATCAGTTGTTTATAAATAAGTCAAGTCATTATCTTGAAGGGAACTGAGATAAATATGCTCCTAAAATCGATGGCCGGTGTTATGGACTGTTTTATTCGTGAACAGCAAATGTTGTATACCTTGTTCGCCGTGGATTAACCGATGACATTTCGTGAAAATGGTTCCTGATATTGCCACATTCACTAAAGGTCTAAGTTAGCGAGTCTGGGTCTTAGAGTAATTGATGACACGTGGAGTTTCAAATCCATTGTGTATCATGTAGACGACTATCAGACTACAGTTCTGCGGGTCGAACTCTTAACGGTTGATTCTGACATAGTTTGTTCCTAAGTAAGACTGATGGACCATTGGTTATGATATGACCAGGCATATTATTCCTAACGGCATGTTTAAAAACCAGTAACATTGATATAAAGCAAGAACACATATTTCTGTAGTTACGAACATGCTGTAATTTTAGACACTCTGTAGCCTCTACTTTCGTTGCGATATGGGTTTGGATTTTCGTTAATTTATTGGACTGATGTTTGGTCAATTTTATTGGGTTTACGTTGAAATATGTTAAACAGAAATTAATAATTAGTTATACGGTGACATTAATTAAGCTTTTTATTTGGCAATTAGTGTGTCACAAATTGAATTAATGATGTGTTATGTGTTAAGCATAAAACTTATCACAGTTATAATGTGTAAAGTAGCATTGATCCTTCATTATGACACGTATCACTCTCTGTAGGTTCAGGGAAAGTAATGACCTGCTATATCTAAATGCATGTCATGAAATGCGAATAGGGTGCCCCCTCGCAGAATTGCATGCTTAGGGGTCACTGAAGAAACGAATGTTGGTCTGCTGCCATATTGCAACATCGCGGATCGGTATCTTGTCTTCGCTCACTTCCTTTTTTGTTTGTGTCTCCCAAGGCACCCGTCTTCATACATACAAACAAAAAATGACACACATCACAGGTATTATGTACAAGATTACACATTTCCTTAAATTAGGAGACCAACATACATACGAAACCACCTGACTATAAATATTTACTATGCATAAAATATCTTTCTACTTTTTCCTTGATCGACCGTTCGTTAAAACTTGACACAGAGAGAGAGTTAATATGTGGATATAATTTGCAAAGGACAATTATACCATTCGGTCGATGCTAGTTGTAAATGTAGAAGCTGTATTTTCTCCGACTTAACAGCTGAGTCCCTGTTCTTTTGTAAGATAAATGTTGAACCTGCCTTTACGTACCCAGAAAATGACATATCATACACGCCATTATTTTGAAAGGTCCTCATCGCATCCCTCACCGCATCATCACTTTGTCCCAGGGTAATTTGTCACTCATTTCATTTGTCGGTCAAAAATACTTTACAGCATTCGTTAAAAGTCGTACAGAACACTTACCCTCGGATTGATATTTCTCTATCTACACTATACAAGAGTGTTAGATTATATTAATAATATTCCGGGTAAATATTAATGATTCAAATATTTATGAATATTTATTTTGTTGAAGTATTAAGTAAAATATAAACAACATTTTGAGGGTTGTATAATGGTTTATTAAGGCACATGGTCTAGATAATAATAACATTCTCCTTTAATCAGCCGGTGACCTTAAATACAATAATCGTGACCCGAGGGTTACCCGGAGGTCTTGCCCTTTAATCACATTCACCATATTGACTTTGGAATCAATTAATTCGTAATGTACAATAAAAAATGACCAAGATTAACTTAGTGATAATGAGACAGACTGTTGTATCCATAGGAAAAGACATTACCAACGACGTTGAAACCTTCCTCATATTCTGATACGATCTGGATAGTTTATAATACAAGTGTTATATACAATGGAGCTTTGTTAATGCAGACAGTGTATTGTAGTTTCAGTAAAATCATGAAAGATACGTATTTTGGTTAAATGGAACAGTTATTCTGACATATAAGTTACTACGCGTTACTATTATCATCCGGAAATGGATCACTCATGAATACCAAACTCTAACTTAACGAAGTTCCCATGCATCGATGTTTTTTATTGGTGAGGATTAATGTTTGATCTTTTGTGAAAACTGACCAATCGACAAATTTAAAAGAAAAATAAAATAATGAAAGGGACTTGCACAGTTATCTTTGTACTGGACATTCCATGTTAAAGATAACCTATGTTAACAAATGCATTATGTACAGTATCAATATATACCAGCAATATATAATAGAATTTTGATCACAGATAAAACAGCATGCGGTAATCATGATATTATACAATTGATATATGTAAATAGAATTCCATCTTGATTGATACGTCGTCCCGTGTTTGAAATTGAATTTGTCGATGAAATGAAGCTCCATTCGCATTTACATTACTTCAATCACCTATTACACAACATCTTTAAATACAAATAAAAGACACGTAGTAATACCAATGTAAACATAAGCACGTACCTATATCAATGTAAACATAAGCACGTACCTATATCAATGTAAACATAAGCACGTACCTATATCAATGTAAACATAAGCACGTACCTATATCAATGTAAACATAAGCACGTACCTATATCAATGTTAACATAAGCACGTACCGATATCGATGTAAACATAAGCACGTACCGATATCAATGTAAACATAAGCACGTACTTATATCAATGAAAACATAAGCACGTACTTATATCAATGTAAACATAATCACGTACCGATATCAATGTAAATATAAGCACGTCTATATAGCAATGTAAACATAAGCACGTACCTATATAAATGTAAACATAAGCACGTACCTATATCAATGTAAATATAAGCACGTACCTATATCAATGTAAACATAAGCACGTACCTATATCAATCTAAACATAAGCACGTACCTATATCAAAGTAAACGTAAGCACGTACGTATATCAATGTAAACATAAGCACATATAAATACAATTTTAAACATAAGCACGTACCTATATCAATCTAAACATGAGCACGTATCTATATAAATGTAAACATAAGCACGTACCTATATCAATGTAAACATAATCACGTACCTATATCAATCTAAACATAAGCACGTACCTATATAAATGTAAACATAAGCACGTACCTAT